TAAACTTGAATACACATTGAATCAAATTTGTGTGGAATCTAGAGCCATATCGTCTTTCCATAGGTACATCTTTATCTAACACGTAGCTTCAATTCTGTAATATGACTTAAATTGAATGAGTTTAAAATAAATACAACAATAATAATAATAATAATAATAACGCTCACCCTCAAGATAGCCGCGCACTGTGTCGCGGGTGCCATGGACACACATAGACAACCACAAATTACCTCACTCAAACACAAACTCACGATAGAAATTATGTAGGCCATACAAATATTTCTCCCGGCCCGGGAATCGAACCTGGGAGCACCTGCGTTGGCAGTCCGGCAAAATATATAATGTATTTAAGTTTTGAACTTAGGAAATGATAATCTTATTATGTGCTTCGGAATCTTATTGTAAAAACGTATACAGTTCCCCATAAATAGTCGTTTACCTTAATTAAACGAACTCGTGGTACTCTAAGGTTAAAAATGTGGATATCTTCTTTCTTATTGAAATTATGTATATTTTTGGGGCATATACAATATTTTAGTAAATGTACTGTGATGGTGATGCCACAGATACCATGATATGTCATGTCATAATAACAGTCTCCTTAAACTTTTCTCTAAGAGAAACTCGAGAACCTAAACGGTACACAGAACGAATCGCTCGTTTTTGCAACACGAATGTGGTTTGTACGTCTGCCGCTTTACCCACATGAGAATCCCATAGGATACTATGGAAGTAACTAAAGTAAACTAGTCTAGCAGTAATAACACCGGTAAGCTCACGTATTCTGCGGACTGCGTATGCAGCGGAGCTTAATCTGCTGGCCAGGGACGATATATGTGGAAACCACTGAAGTTTACTATCTAAGGTCACTCCCAAGAACACTACTTTATTAACAAGGTCTAACTTTTCTGCGTTTATTTCTATGCTTGGACTAGTCGATTTTACGTTAGGTAATTGAAATTTAACACATTTTGTCTTCTTGACATTAAACAATAAATTGTTAGCATTAAACCAATAAACTACCTTAGAGAGGGTATCATTAATATGGTCATAATTAATGTCATGTCTGTCTATTTTAAAAATCAAGGATGTGTCATCAGCAAACAACACTATTTCGCAATGGTCCTTAACAAAGAATGGCAGATCATTAATATAAATCAAAAATAAGAAAGGCCTAAGTATTGAGCCCTGCGGAACACCCATTCTTACCGGAGAACCCAAAGAAGTCACACCATTTATGTCTACTTTCTGAATTCTACCGTTGAGATATGACGAGACAAGTTTTGACACCTTGCCATTTACACCGTAATGTTCCAGCTTCCTAATAAGAGTAATATGATCAACGCAATCAAATGCCTTTGAAAGGTCACAGAAAACACCAATAGCGTTCTGGGACCTTTCCCAAGCATCAAAGATGTGTTTTAGTAACGCTACCCCCGCATCGCTAGTCGATCTACCACTAGTAAACCCGTATTGTTCACTATGAAAAATATGATTCCTACCGTAAATAGGACAGTAATTGAGTCAGCATAACCTTTTCGAATATTTAACTTAAAGCTGATAAAATTGAAATGGGCCTATAGTTGCTAGGATCAACTTTCCTACCGCTTTTGAATAAGGGAATAACCTTGCTGTATTTCATTAAATCGGGAAAAATACCTTCGTCAACTCACCTATTGAAAGCCACAGCTAAATGTGGGGAAATTAGATCAATAACTGAGTCTATAACTTTAGTCGATATGCCCCAGAGATCTTCAGTTTTTTTAACATGTATTGATTTAAAAGCTTTTATGATGTCTTGTGGATTAACATGACCGAAATCAAATAAACTGCCACAAACGTTAACATTTTCCTTTAGGAGATCAATAGCAAGTAAAGGGGAGGAATTTAATGATGTAGTGTTCACAGCTATTTCCGAAAAGAACGATTCAAAAGCTTGGGCTTTATCTTTAGATTTTATAAGTTTGCTGTCTAATTCTAAAACCATATCCCTATCGTGTTGTTTAACCCTGTCTGACTCTTTATTTATTATGCTCCAAGTAGTTTTAGATTTATTTATCGATTGTCTAATTTTGTCGCTGTGAAACTTAACCTTAGCCTCTACACATACTTTTTTAAATATTTTTGAATAAATTCTAACATATTTTATGAAATTGGAATTAGTGTTATAAGTTTTCATAGCATATAGCTCATACAAACGAGAATCTCTTATGAATACCTACTGTTGCCCAGTCGTTGAATTTAGTCTCTCTTAGTACAGAAAGTTAATGTTTTCGATTTAAATATAGGTATTATCAAATTCATTTTTAATTAAACCAAATATCGTGCTATATAAAGTATTTGGAACCTCCGGTATATAGGGTAGGGATTTTAAACTATTCGTAAAATATTCGTAATGAGCAACCCAAAATACTTCGAAAATGATACCCAATTTGCGTGACCATAGGACCTGTAAAGGGCCCGAAACGTCGGTTTGTTTGAAAAAACAAATATACGCGATTTAAATCCGGAAAAATAGTTTCATTTCCTATCTGTAACAATCGCGAAAACCTAACAACTCGATAGATACCCAATTTGCCATTATTCGAAAAATCATGCCCGCCATCTTGAATCTAGAAATGAGTGCCATATTCGTAATGAGCATCCCCAAATACCTCGAAAAGGATACCCATATTGCATTTTTTGATAAATCTAGTCCGCCATCTTAGATTTACAAATAAGTGCTATATTCGTAATTAGCACCCTTAAATATGTCGAAAACGATGCCCAACTTGCCATTGTTTGAGAAATCGTGCCCGCCATCTTGCATTTAGAAATGCGACAAGTCGTGTCAGCCATCATGTATTCTGATATAAATGCCATTTCCATAAGGATTACCAAACACAAATTTTTGAAAATTCTTGGATTTAGAAATTAATGCCACATTCTCAATGAGCACTCCCAAACAACTCGAAACGTCTATATTTCTCGTTGTTGATCGACAATGTCGTAGGCACCTTCAGAATCCGTTCGTTACCTTTATTTTGTCAAAATGATCAGAATGAATATTACCAAACAGTTACAAAACTCGATTTACAAAAAATATTTGTAAATAGTTTTCGCCTTGTTTAGAGGTTTTTATGGGATTTTTACGTTTGTTTAACACTATTCTTCACACTTGTACTCAGAACCAAAAGGTATAAAGTTAGGGGGGTCAGAGTTCTTGGGGCGCACACTTCACGTATAGATATTAAAAATTACTCACAACCTGCTGTTTTTTTTTCATTTGTAGTTTTAGTTTCAAAATTGTCAATAAATTTTAGACATAAATGTTCCCATGCCTTTTTTTCCAGTCGATTAGAATAACTGGCGGAACTGACATCCCATATTGCAAGATGTTGTTCTGCATTCTTTATAAATTCTTCAACTCGATTTTCGTCTATCGTAGTTAATTTGAAAAATTAACATGTACACCTCACTAACCGTGATGCCACCGAGAGTGGCTGCAGCGCGATTATCGCGCGGCCGCCGCGCGGTTGCAGCGCTTCTAGAAATTGTATGAAAAGTGACAATCGCGCGACTGTCGCGCGGCTGCAGCGCTGCTGCAGCGCAGCTAACAGCGGCTAATTTGAACGCGCCCTTATACGAGAATTGAAACTTTACCTGCATGTAAATGCCCTGTAAGGACACATCAACTGACAAAAATCAGTGTTTAGGCCCAGTGGAAATAAAATGCTAGTGGACTGTATTAACTTATAGTATTCGCGAAAAAGGAAATTACAAATTTTAGCGACGTGTGGGACGGCAGCGACCGTTTCGTGAAGAGCGTTTGATATTTTGTTTTATAATTTTACTGGCTACGGCCCGCTCGGAGTGCGGGCAGTGTCGCTATGTCTGTCCTAGACAATCTGAATAAATTAAACAAATTGTAAGCCTATTCCATTTAAGATTATGACAGATAAGTACTTATTGCGCATTGTGTTTTGTAAATCTTTTTTTATTATTTGGCATAAATCACTTTTTATTACTTGCTATTGAAAATATTAAACAATATTGCTCGATTGTGTACAATGCGACAAAATAGATATCTAAGCACTGGAAATCAACATCAGATTTTTTTCCGTCTACCTTTTACACGAAACGGTCCGAGGTTCACCGCAAGGTACCACAGTGCTCCGCACGCGGAGCGCCATACGACATCTCACTCGCGCTGATGACGCCTCGTCGCCGGTTTACGAAACTGTTTTTTGTGGGAACTGCTGAAGCACTGCTACCCGAAAACTTGACTCGTGGACAAATATGGATATTTTGAAGTATATTTCTAAAAGAATAATAAAATCCGTGGAATCATATTCATCATAATTTAAACTAAATCTCGCGACAAACGGACTTCGAATTCACAACAGTGTCAAATGAAAAGGTTAAAGGTAACCTATGTAGGTATTACAACCTTTTCATCATTCAATGTGACAAGAACAAAATTCGTTTCAGAAGCTTCGCATACATAGACATTCCAGGGCAAACAAAGTGCGGCTAATATAATAATGGACATTGATTGATTATCGAGTGCGATACCAGATCCCATCTCATCTCATGTGATGTGCGCCGGAGTGGCGCCGCCGCCGCCGCCGCCGCTGCGGCTGACACTACGCAGAGATCTCAAGTGTTTCTAAATGCGCCCCCGCCGCCGATGCTGTTGGCCTAGGTCGGACAATGTTATTAGTACGCTCTACTTGTCTTCTAATTACATGCAAGTACTTACGCTGGGGACTTCTTACACAGTTTTCCGTAAGCATAAGAAGAATAAGAAGTTCAATAAAAAAATCAGTTAAATTCTCAAAATCCTTAAAAAAATCGCTTAAACCCTTATAAAAATAACCAGGAAATGTTGAGAAGTTAAGCCAACATTATATACATTTTAGAAAGATAACTTTTTAATAAATGCATAACCGTGTGTTGAACAGAATTTCGCGAGTCGTGACAACTGAAGTTATCGCTAGCGACAGCGTAGGTATACTTACAATGTGTTCTTCTAATGGCCGTAGGGGCGCCGCATAATTTGCCATACAACATTGTAAAGTAATTGACGCCGTGGCTAGCGGCAACGGTGACAGTAAACTCGTGGTAGAGGCACTGGCCGACCACCAAACTGAAAGTCAATTAATGCCAGTTGAAGCTGTGTCGCCGTTACCGTATCAATTTAGGACAAGGGAAACATAACATGCGGGCTATGGGAGGTATTTAGTATAAGGGGTTTCCTTTGCACTGTTTGACTCCGATGCAGCTATCTGCGTTTCTGTATGGTGAGCGAGTGCATATTGCTGCGTGGGGGTCATAAATCGCGAGCGTGCGCGAGCGCAGCGGCTGGCGCTAATGCAGCGCATAAATCCGCAGGGCTAGCGCCTGCCTGCACACCGCGCCGCGCCGACGGCCGACGCTGCCGATGTCGGTTGTGTCGCCAGCGCATATTTGAAAGCACTTTTTGGTGGAACCTATGCATAGGTACGCGGAGATCATGACAACAATACGGCAAACTCGTATTTTTTTAATCATTTTAATGTTGTCGATGAACGGTGGAAGTCACTCTGTGAGAACTTTTTCATGGCTAATTTTATTTTTAATTGCTTTACAAAAATGATGTGTAAGCTCAATAGCTACACGTGTGACAGCTTTTAATAATACTGCCGCCCACATTCCCGCATTTCACCAAAAGGTATGTGAACGGGTGTCACCAGATTTACCGTAATTTATTGCAGCGTCGTTAACGCATCACGTTGCACCGTCGCGTCGTCTGTATTCTCGATACCCACATAGTGGCATGTTATAGCACACTCTGTCATCCGAGGCGCTCAGTAATTGTAGAAGGGTGAACGCTTCTTTCTTACAGCTGTAAACACCTATTTTGTGAAATAAAATTGATTTATTTTGCGTGCGGTATATGCAAATAGACATTTTGGAACATCTGTCCTAACGTGTTGTATAAAAGCTTCGACGCCGGCGCCGTGAATGTTTTTCTCAAGCAGTGCCTAACAGGCTGCAAAAAATACAAAAAAATTATTAATTCCAAAACAAGTTTTTGGTCTAAAGACATCACGAGGAGATACGAGACAAATAAAAATGCACGTAGTGACGTCATAAATACACGATTTTACAGATTCAAGAGCACGTTGAGCTTGACACTTGAGATATAAATTCAACACAATTTATGCCGCTTGCGTTAAGCATGGTCCACATTCCAAAGTGTCTCTTGATGTGGTTTGGACTATACTTCCTTACCTCCCATTCATACATAAAAACGTAAGGTTTTAATAATACTCCGTTACCATAAATATAGACTACTACATAATTTAGTACCTATATCTCGGCGCGGCCGGCCTGCGCCTGCGTCGGCGCGGCCTAATTGCTGGCGCGCGCTATAAATCTGGCCACATGTCGATATGCACTCCGCCTTATCGACCACTTACCTCACCCTGCCCTCACAGCGCCATTCGCGCCTCACCCCCTGCATCTCTCTGCCAGCTTTTTGCACAAAACCATCAATTTTTTACTCTCGTTCACTAATATCTACAAATTGTAAAGCGGCCCCGCGCCATATGTCACGACTGTAAAAGAACACCCAACAAAAATAAACAGCTTCATTTAAAAGCGACTGCTACTTCTAATTTATAATTAGTTAAAAACAGATCGCGCGAAGGACGGGGCAAAGAGTTACGCGCATCCTCATACAGCGATTGATCTCAGAGCTCACAGAGAAGAGAGAGCCGAGGTGTTCAAAGCACCAATAACACACGAATGCGATATTATAAAAAACCTCTGCCCGTGCAGCTTCCGTTACCGTAAAGCGTTTAGGTTAGGTTAGGTTGTAGGTACAACATATCTGTAAGGACTTTTTATTTCTCTTTAGTAAGGCAGTAGAGGTCCTTATAAAGGAGTTCGTCCAGAAAACCGCCAAGCAACAATATGAACATTACTGCGTTACGGTTTTGAAAGGTAAGGGTGCTGGTAAAATTATCAGATCTTTGTGATTTAAAGCACTGAGTGGCACTACAACTGTTATATGTAGGCATGTCGCTTACCACTTAGCGAACGAATAGTTCGTCCCGTTACCTACTTGGTATTATAAAGAAAAAAACTTTGTTAAAGTTGTCTATGGCGTATCGCTTTTTGTCTGGGTGGGTACAGCAACCAAAATACTTAGTTATTATTTGTCATGCAAGGCTGCAACATTGTTGTATGACATGAGTGCTTGATTCTTTGATTCATTGAATCTAACATTTTGTCGCTTCACTCGTGGTTAAAAAATAAATTCTTGTGCGTAGCGAGGGTTTCAAGACACGAGACGCGAAACGTTGCCGCCGAGCGAACCACACATCTTTTCACCTCACTATCGCGAAGAAAATGGTAGATGAAAGAAAAACAGTTGAACTGTTAATTATAACTGATTTGTTTAAATCACTTTTAATTAACAAAATTAGTTATCGTTGTCAATTTAATATCAACAATAAGTAATAAGAATAAAATATGCCGGACGGATCTATATTACATAAACTAGGTTTTGAACCGCTGTGCTGAACGAGTGCGGTCGAACCGAGGAAGCTCGCTATATAACTTATTACTATAATGTAGGAGTTGATTTGAAAGTAGATACTTTAGTAAAAACGTTTTTATTGGTTAAGATTTGTAACAATAGATATTGTTAGATTACATAAAAATGAATGATAAACTTAAGTACCTTCTTATACTTTTCAGTGCAGTGACCTTTTGTGGTTTTTTTTTGTGGAAATTGGTTGAACTTTTTTTAAAAGTTTGTTTAATATAGCTGAAAGCTGGTAACTAAATTGTGTAGTTATGTTTTTGTGTTCTTCATGAAATCGGTAAATGAAATACTGTTTATTTTGTTTTATATGCAATAGGAATGAAGTTATTTTAATGTTTGATTAATTTACATATTATATATACCTATACAATAAAGTACGACAGATCGCGTAGTTGAACGCGTCATTATGTTTTTTTTTTTCATCGAAAGTTTAAGTTAGGTGCACCACAGTCCATCATCAAGTTCAAATTTCAAAAACCTTTGCATTGCGTTACATTTCAAAAACCACGCTAGTGTGGAAAAAAATGATTTTGCGCGCAGATTTCTAATGAGAAAGAAAGCCTTTCTGAGCTAGCGAGGTGAAAAGTAAATTATTATTCAGATTTAACTCTTTGCTGCTTAGAATAAGAATGGTTCAATTTAATAAACTAAAAAGAAACCCAAATGTCAAACTGGACGTGCTCTCGTAACAATAGATTCGAGTTAACGCTGACCATAAAAACCGATCTCAAAAGTTCGTGGAATTACATCTCGCACTCTCACACACCATCAAGAATGGTTGTTCCTGTGCCAGATGACCCATCATGCTGGGAGAGAGACGCATAAACTTGCATTAACGCTAAGCTTTTCCCAGCTCGTCAGTGGCGCCACAAGGATCCCAGATGTTGAGTCTCATACGGCTCATTGCTTGGACCTACTGCTAACAACTGATCCAGACCGATACTCTGTGGTTGTGGATGCACCATTGGGTACTTCTAACTACTATCTGGTGAAAGCTGTAACCGCATACTCCCCACTTGGTCAGGAAGAAAAAGAATGTTGCGCAGGGCAAAGTTCGAACATGTGCGCCACATTGGGACCAAACTTGCCTCTTTTCCAGCAGGCAGCAAGTCTTTTTGGTCCCTTGCCAAAGCGGTCGAATCAAACTTTAGTCTCTCTACTTTACCACCTCTGCTGAGGCCGGATGGCTCGCTGGTTCATACTGCGGAAGAGTAGGCGAATTTTTTTGCTTCACTCTTTGCAGAAAACTCGCGTCTGGATGCCGCAGGGAACCTACCACCTTCTTTACCTCATATTGGCTGCAGTCTGGTGCCAGTTCGCATACGCCAAAAAGAGGTACTCAGAACTCTGCGAAGTTTAGACGTGAATAAAGCTAGCGGGCCAGATGGGATTCCAGCAATAGTCTATTCTCCACAAAACGGAGTCCCTTTCACTTGACTCCGACTTTTCGTGATGTATCGATACCGACAGCCGACCATCTCCAGCTACTTGGAATGGACCTGTCGTCCAATCTGAACTTCGGCAGATACATTGAATCCATGGCCAAAAATGCAGCCAGGAAGCTTGGCATCCTTTCCAAGGTGAGGCGATACTTCACACCGGAGCTCCTTACGAAAGAGTTCGTCCAAGGAAGTACTGCCACCTTACCTATTTCTGGCGGCAAGCAGTAATGTCAGAATTACTGTGTTCCGGTTATGAAGGGTAAGGGTGCTGGTGAAATGACAGGCACATGAGACTTGTCAACTTAAGGTTCAGGGTGACGGGCGCAGTGGCAGTGCCCCTCAAATCTTTGCGATTTAAAGCTCTGAGTGGCACTGCAATAAATATGGGCAGGCGCGTAGCTTACCTACTATCAGGCGCACGACTTGTTCGTCCCGTCACTTGATGTTATAAAAAAAAGCTATTTTCTTCAAATTTAAATAACACCAATACTGAGGTAGTACCCTCTTTCCTACAAAAAAACATCAAAAACCTGTTAGGGCGCCGCAATTAAAAAATACACATTAATTAAAATTTGCAAATGCCGGAGTAATCGCATAACATACAAACAAAAAAATACAGTCGCATTGAGAACCTTCTTCGTTTTTTTGGAAGACTGTTGCAAATTTATTGCTACTCCTGTAGAACTAGTTCACTGGAAATGGGTTACAAAAAGAAGGCTCTATTACACTTTTTTAAATTATTGAGTATTGTTAATGGACACAATTTCAACGGGAAATAATAAGAGAGGAAATACTGAATTCCTAGATTTTTGTATTTTATACCATACATTGACATATCTGGGACGACGATAATTTACGAAAACATACAGAAAGCCCGTAATGTACCTACTTACGTAGCTAGGTAATCCGGCGGCGGCGCGTGGCGGCGTGCAATAGTGGTCTCGCCGATAGATTGCACCGAATGTAAAACAATTACTTGTGCAATACGACTCTTTGTACATACCTGCGAGGATTGTACATACAATATTAGGTAACTGAGTCACTGTTACACGCGGTGACAATTATTTTACTGTTTTATCTGTGGCAGTGTAGTGCTTACTATAAAGTATTACGTTGCAAAATCGGCTGGCAATTGTTTTGAAAGCCGCAAACGTCACGCACGCCGGAACGTGCCGTATCATCTCCGTATCTGCGTTGCATACCGCGGATAGCTTATCGCCGTTACGATTTACTAACCGTTTGCCTTATGCCCCACTCCCCCGCTTCTCTTCAGCTCTACTCATTGTTTAGTAATCATGATCACGTTGCTCTGTTCCAATTATTGGTAAATTCTTGACATAGTTCGTTCGTTCATTTGACACAATTTTAAATTGGCACACGCTATAACTAAGTATTCATGATCAAAAGAATCTAAATAATTTACTTGGGCGGCCAAGTAAATTATTTACATTTATTTCATTTATTGCCCTTTAAGCAATTCCAACAATAATTGTTGATATCGAGTTCTTAGGTTTTCGCGATTGTTACACATAGGAAATGAAAGTATTTTTCCGGATTTAAATCGCGTATATTTGTTTTTTTAAACAAATATTAATTAGTACTGCAGTCTTATGTCTGTTTGGTAACGTCGGTTTGTTTGAAAAAACAAGTATATGCGATTTAAATCCGGAAAAATAGTTTCATTTCCTATAATAATTGATGGGTTATAAAAAAAGGCTTTTCGTTTTGTCTCTACTGACGAACGTCTTCGTTCAAAATATTTACATGAAGAACAACGCGAACATGGTTGTATCTACTAATGGACCAACGTCCTTTTCTTTTAGTTGTTCCTGTGTCGAGCTGAAAATGACATCGCACTGAACGGCACCAGAAAAAACCGGCAGAATGTTCGGCGGACAAGGCGGGGGCGCGGGCGCGGGCTACGGCAGCGTAGGAAGCGAGTGCGGCGACGGCTACGCGCTGGGCTACGCTGCGGCGGGCAGCCGCTACGCTCACTTCCCGCACCAGAACGTGTGGCACCACCACGCCGCCGCAGCCGCAGCGACTGCGGCGCACCACGATCAGTACCGTAAGTACAATTAACCTTTACGCTCCATTACTAGTTCCACCTTCAACATCGTATACGCAACAAATACGTGCCGAATCCAAGATACATTTGCGCACTAGCCGCGGTTCACCGCGTACATTTGCCGATAGCACTCCTAGCAAGTGACGATCTGAAACCACAACAAAAATGTCTGATCCGGTAATCCCACAAGACACTGCAAAATTGAAGGAAAAAAGGATAAGAGGAAAAATCAGCTAAATGCAATGTTTTACGGCGATTGCCTAACGGACCATCGTCATGCGTCACCGGCAGCGGTCACTTTGTATAGACGCGAACGTGCGCACGCGTTGCTGTTTTCAGCACTTCGTAGTCGCAAGGTACAGGGAAATAACAAGACAAGAGGAAAATAAACAAAATATTATATATGAAATTAGCTTTACAAATACCTCACACGATTCAAACAGTTCGATTGAAAAAAGACTTATAAGTTGTATGAAACGAGCAAAGACAGTACGGAAAATTGAAGTAGCAAAAACCCCAGTGAGGTGACTTAAATATGTACCTAATTGAAACATACATTTTGGCGGCGACGCAAACAGGAGAAATAGCTGAACCATGTACGAGTAAATGATGGTTTGGTTGAAAAAACAAATTTATTGGAAATGAAACTATTTTTCCGGATGTAAATCGCGTATATTTGTTTTTTCAAACAAGCCGACGTTTCGCGATTTAAATCCGGAAAAGTAGTTTCATTTCCTACACAGAAAAAAAGGATTTCTACTAATAAGAAAGAGCAATTTCTTAAAATATTTGCTAATTCTGAAAAAATATTTATTAAAAGTAATAAAATATTGTCACTACAAAAATACTGCTTATCTTTTTCTAATACAATTTTACTCTTAACTTTATTCTAACTTTGAGACAAATACGTTCACTTCAAGATTTTATTTCATTTCTAATCAATTAATTGGACATTACTTATATCAAGAAATTTTTACCTCTTACATCAAATTTAAATAATCTTAAATGAATTCAAAATTTCTTGGGTGTATTTTAAGAAAATATATTCTTAAACAAAAAAAGAAAATAGTTTTCTATTCAGATTAATATTCTAAATTCTAGAGTATATTCTTAAAGCAACATTTCGTTGCGTTTTCATAGTCAATCTTGTCGTGACATGTCGCCGAAGGCACACGCGGTAACGATTACTTTTACTTGTGCTTGTAATCATAAAAATCATAAACAGTCATTTATCCAAAGAAACAATACGTAGTATCTCTAGTTTGTTAGGGTGTTCTTTATAGTCATAATTTAAGAAATTTGGTTACAGCATGAAATCAAACTATATACACTTGTAACAAGCATAACATGCAATTAGTTCCATCACGCCACTGCTAGATGGCATTAGATGTACTCTGAAACGCGCTATCGTTTTGTTAACTTCAATAGTATAAAGTCATCTCATATATTTGGAATTGTTAGTGCTTTCTGCCGCTGTAGCATTTATACGGCACTGGATGGTCCTCAAGTATTTGAGAAGATTCCATATTTCCATCCTATTTCTGCTACTTTAAGGTTTGGCACTGTTGGGTCCATAACCCTGTAAATTTTATCCTTTTTGATATTAGAAAACATAAATCTTCACTCAAACAATTAAGTACCTCTCAATTTTTCATTCTTTTTTTTTTCAAATCAAAATCGGACATTTCTAGTAACAAATAAATATTTTGTTGAATCTAGAGTGGCTTTGTGACTTAAAGTAAATTAATTTGCTCTTGGATTAAATATTTTTGTCTTGTAACGAAAATACACTTTTGAGACGTTTTTTTACTATTATCAAGTAATTATTCTCTAGCGTCTATAGGGAGAGAATCGTTTTGTTGGATTTAATAAATTTGTCTTCATAAAAAGAATTTTGTCTTTTTCTAAGTAATCTGTTTTTACCGTGTATGTGTAACAATCGCGAAAACCTGAGAACTCGATAAAACAAATTTATGTTTCGCGATTTTGATTGGAAAAAAAATGGAGATCTGTTAGATAAAGTAAGATGCGATGACGATGATTGAGCAAAATGAAACCTACCTACATCATATTGTAAGATATACCTGGAAGCAGTAGAGCTCCTGGTGAAAGAGTTCGTCTAGGGAAGTACCTACTGCCACTTTACCCATTTCTGCCACCAAGCAGTATGTGCGAGCATTACTGCGTTCCGGTTTTTAAGGGTACCCTTGGGTACCCTTAAAAACCTTTCACTAGTACCCTTGGGTACTAGTGAAATTACAGGCACATGGGAATTGTCAATTTAGATATATCTCTGAGATCTTTGCGCTTCTATGACGATGAGTTAATGTTCTGAGTGGCTCTGCAACTGTAATGGACAGGCGTGGCATCAGACGCACGACGTGTTCGCAGGTGCTGTTCGTTTCTATCAGTCAAAAGTTTAAGGAGACTGGTATCATGACTCAAATATTTTGTATGCCCGTAAAAATATACGTACATAATTTCATTAAGAAAGAAGATATCCACATTATATATTAACCTTAGAACCAAGTCCAAACTCATGGTACCACGGTTTCAATAACTAAGGGAGATGCCACACAGGCGTTGCGTCGTCGTCGCAACTGCGTTGATTGCAACGGACGGAGTGCCACACGAGCTGTTCCATCGACGCTCGCTGTTTCAACGTACCGTATGGTATGTCGTTCTGATTTATATGGAGGTAGTACAACGCAGTTGCGACGACGTAACGTCGACGCAACACCCGTGTGGCATCTCCCTAAAGTAAACGATTCTTTTATGGGCATTGTATCATTTTTACAATGAGATTCCGGAGCATAAGTAGGTATAATAAATTATTTTTTAATATTATTTATTTTCCTAAGTTTAAAACTGACGGAAGTCCGCTCATAGCGGCTGTAGAAGGCAGAGCGGCTATGCTCGATTACTCGGTCATTTCCCACCTCCTCGCTCTCTCTCCGGGGCAGTCGCTTGCCACCTGTGGGAACTCGCGCGCACACTCTTGTGCCGATAATTTTAATTCATTCCGTTTTGAAGAAAACATGCGACGTAAATTCATTTCGTTTCTATCAAACCTTGCTTTCTTTGTAAGTATATTATTGCTATGATTGTAGTGTTTTACATCTATCTGGCAGAGTTTTTGTGATATTTGTTTGAAGGTATAGGTAGTTACATTTTGTACTTCGTATTTTGAGGTTTGAATTTAGTTTTAAAATAAAATTGTCAAAGAGGCAAAGCGGCTCGGGTAAAGCGGTTACCTAGCCGGTATATGAATATGAAATGTATAAATAGCCAAGTAGTTTCTTGTAGATGGTAAACAATTACGTATAAACGAAAGACAACGCCGAAACACACCGGTACTGCACGCCACCGCACTCCTCAACTCCGTTCAAGTCCGTTCTCGAGGCTGCACCGCATTCTGATTTAGGTATTTGATAGCACGATTGGACGTCTGATGAGTGAATATAGGAAAGTATTTGAACAAATGAGGTGCAGTTCTGTGAAATGTAGCATGTTTATTATTTTTTATCGTTGTTTCTGTGTTTGTAGCAATTTGGACTTTTATCTTTTTATCGAGTTGTTAGATAATATATAGATTTTTCAATGATAAGTTTTCACACCGGCAACTGTCTTCTCGACGGTCGGACGGTCTTCTCAATGAAAAGCCGTCTTTACAAATTGTCACGAACAGAGACCGCAAACACGTTGCCAGTTGTGAGCACCACAGGCAGAGAACCCTACAACTTCCACACGATGGCGACGTATCAAACGACACAGAGATATTGTATGGAATTAAAATAAATAGAGCAATTGGAACTGTACGCACGCGATTGCCCGTGGCCTGTAATTGTGATGATGATCAAGCGTAGTGCGGTGAATCAGCGGCGATAACGCGAGTCTCGTATGCGCAAGCGCCGATCGATGCCGCGCCGCAGCGGCAGTGTGCGTTGTGACCTCTGACCGCCGAGTCGCGTCTCTGCAATTCTCAGTGACCTCTCGACCTCGAACGCGTGTCACGATGGACTCCATCCCTCTCACGACCAACTGGCTGCAAAACATTGCCCTGCTCGCAGGTTAGTTCGCCGCGCACATCAGCTCACCAAAAACATTGCACCTACGAATGTCTACATTGTTTTACATGTTGTAATATGAAAGTTAATAACGTTAAAGAACCGAAGTACCTGATGTAAAAAACTAATCTATTCGCCTCGTCAAAGTATCATTGCAGCAGCAAAGTTTATATCGTTTAAAGTTTACTGATTCCATTAGGTAATCGGTGTTCGTCCGTTATCAAACATTCGTATCTTTGACATGTGTATCTATTAACAATTTTAACGATGTAGGTTAACTTACACATATAAGTAGTTTTACTAATTGTAAAACGTTTGAATTCCTTTTCCATATGCCTGCAGCAGCCTGGAAACGTCTCTTGCTATAGTATATTTATCAAAATACGGGATGCGGGGATAAGGTAATAACAGCGAGGTTATTTTTCAGCAGGTGGTGGCGGCGTGGGCAGCGTGGGCAGCGTCGGCGGCGTGGGCGGCGTGGGCGGGGCCATCTACGGGCAGAACATGGTGATGGGCTCGTGGTGCGCGCCCTACGACGCACTGCAGCGGCCCTCGGCTTACGGTAAAGTTAACACATAGGTAGTCCTAGTTAGCACCCATTTAGCACCTAACACAAAGCACAATATAAACATTATACCTATTTCGTGTCAACTTTATTTAACGTGTAGGGTGGATAGACGAGAACGGGCTTAGGTCACATATAATTTAATGAACCTGCATAAAGGTGTACCTAATAGGTGCATACGATATTACTTAGAGGTCTCTATAATTATACTTTTATAACTTAGACATATGTAAAAAAATGTATCAGTCGATGTAAGTAGGTGGGTTTCCAAGGTTTCAATTGACTACGAACGAATGTAATCGCCAGAGGTCACAGTCATTCAGCTTTCGAAGGTATATACGAAATACGTACACAACTATGTATGTAACGTAACACAAGAGTTAGAGAGAAATAAATAGGTGCATGCCTACTTAGCTGGGTACGCAACATACTTGGGTACAAGCAATAACGTGCTGAGACAACAATCAGTGATAAAGCACGCGCCTACATGTCATATAATTCCTACTCATTGCCGACCCAAGCACTTCGTAATAATATGTACCTAGTAGGTATATTATTATTGCAATAAACAACATGCTGCCTTAACTTAATCCTTACCGAAGTATAAATAATTATTTACATCGTCAGTTATGCTAAACCAACAAATAACTAAAATACAAGTAAGGGTTGGAAGAAATTTCTTTATGGGATAAGCCCGTCCTTATACACTATTTTTTTATTTATTGCTAACCCACAATTTTATTGTGATAGGTGTAACTTTTTTAAATTTTGAAATAAAAAGTAATAAGTAACTTTCGCAATTTTGTATGCAATATTTTGTAAAACTCAACATTTGTGTGCGTTTTATTTTCTTGGTAAATATAATTACGGTAAATAAACGCAATATTGTAGGTATCTTTATTGCACACATAGGCAACAATATCCACAAAAAGGACTATGCATTAAATTGTTCCTTAAATAGGCGACATTAACAGGAACTAAAATTAAGAACACAATTCTCACACCCAAAAACTCACTTGAAAAAATACCTACATATTTACCTTAGTAAAAATTACCTATTTTACGTTAGTAATAATTATCCACGACTGCGAGCTTTTTAACCAAATATATTAAAATATTTATAAACGAATACGTAAGCGGTGAGCTAAGTAGGTACCTATTTATTAAAATTATTGTCACTAATTACAGGGTCTTACAGCATTAGGGATTTTTATTCTTTTCACGACATCGGGCAGAATCCTATTAAACTAGAAATAATCATTTAGTAATGAATCACGAAAGTTTTAAATGTTATTTATGTAGGCATTCATGTAAAACAAGAGAGGAATCAGTGAAGCGGCTGTTATCGGCGCGGACGCGGACTGGCTTGATCGTTGTAGTCATGTTGCATTGGCACATTGTGTGTGCTTAGCTATAAGTTCGGTGGCCACGGGCCTCCGGGCCTACAATCGCTACAATTACGGATAAATTACTCACTGGCTTTTTGTTACCACTTCGCTGGAAATCAAACCGCTTACGTAAATTTGCTTCAAGGAAAATGATCAACGTTTGTTAATACGGTTTTTGGTGATTAACGATTCGCAATTCTTCAGTAAAACATCAGAGTTGTCTATGCCGAGCGAACACTGTACATACATTTCCACAGTCACTACCTACATCGCCACGTAAAATGAAATAATATTATCAAGTCGTTTTCAAACCTAGGTACCGACTCGTGCGGTACAGGGTCAAGAGCACGTCAAGCTTTATACTTAAAGACTTAAATCCAACTCTATGCAGTTTACTATCGAAACGCTTACGTCCAAAGTACAAAGTGTCAAGCTTGATGTGCTCTTGACTGTACCAATGAACTGGTTCCAGCTAGTATACCTACTTATTAAAAAATGTAAGACGTCTAGAAATTAGAATTACATACACAATGGAAGGAAAGGGAAGGATGTTGCGTTTTTGTATCAGGTGTGAGCTACTCACAAATAAACACATACATAATTACCTCCGAGTACCTCCGAGTACCTCCGAGTACCTACCTAATGTCGTGTTTCCTCGAGCGGAATCCCGACCGCAGACTAAATAGGGCCGATACCTTATCGCCCCTTAATTGTATTAAACAAGAGGAAAAACAACAGACTTATCGCACACTTAGCTTACCTATTTTCTTGTACTCACTGGTTTCCCATAAGATAAGTGTCATCCCGCAACGCGTGGTATTTACTTAGGTAGATATTACCTATTATCATTCAACAGTGATCGAATAATGAATCATCATATTACCAGTCAACCGTGACCATGGGACCTATAAATCCGGAAAAATAGCTTCATTTCCTATGTGTAACACTCGCGAACACCTAAGAATTCGCTGGATATAGGTATACCTTCCAAACGGCATTGCGAAGTCATTGTTATACTGGGCATAAAATAATTCGAGATCAGCAAACAGAAGCTGCGAGTGGGATGCGGGGCGAAGAGAGGGTGTTATCGAGCGCACAGTGATAACTCGACAATAATACGCGTCGGAACGTGCGCGTGCGGCTATTGCGCTGTGCCCAGCGCGACGATCTTCCACGAACCACTGACCGTGCCGCCCGCCGCGCCGGCAGCTGATAATCAACACTGTAGATATATCATTATAATAAGCACTCTTTCAAAACGTGCATTGTAAGCTGCTTCGTGTTACGCAATTTTGATGATTCGACTTTGTTTACAATTAAACAAACGTATTTTATGAACACTTTGAATGAAATAATAATAATAAATATATTTATCTCCACTATTCAAAATACATACCTACCAAGTGTAGGAAACGAAATTGAATGTCTACGCGCGCTGTTTCAACGCACCGTGTGGCACGTCCTTCCGATTTATATGTAGTAGTACAACGCAGTTGCGACGACGACGCAACGCCCGTGCGGCATCTCCCCAAATCGCGTATATTTATTGATTTTTTTTCAAACAAGTAACAATCAGACGAGATGTGCCTTCACAGATCCCATATTCTCGGTCTCTAAATCGGGTCCTTGCCCAAAACGTTGGTTTGTTTGAAAAACCAAATATATATATTCTATTCTATTCTATTCTATTCCTATGTGTAACAATCGCAAAAACCTAGTAACTCGATACATACCTACTACGTAGGTTATTACCTAGTTTGTACCCACGAGCAGAAGAGAAAACCCTTTCATTTAAACGTTTTTCTTTTAAACTAAAATGGTAGGCAGTGCCGGTTCCTGCGCGGTGCTATTGCCTACCGTGGAATAGTGTACCTATATCGTCGAAAGGTAATTAGTTAGCAGGCGACTATGCTCAGATGGTGTACTGGAGGCATACGAGGAGGGGCGCGAGTGCGTCAACTGCGGCGCGAACAACACGCCGCTGTGGCGGCGCGACTCCACCGGCCACTACCTGTGCAACGCGTGTGGCCTGTACCACAAGATCAATGGCGTCAATCGGCCGCTGGTCAAGCCGAGCAAACGGCTGGTGAGTCTCCAACGCTAGTCTAGTAACGCCTCTGTTTGCGACAGGTGCCGACGCGGAGCTGCTCACGCGCTTCTATAAGGAGGGCTCCGTGCAGAGATGGATGAGTGTGGAGGGCATGGCCAGGGGCATGAAGAAGGTGAGTCGGTGGCGTGTAGACTAGTGCATGCATCCTTTGTACGAATAATCCGGTTGCGCACGCGGTTTTTTCGATTATTATCGCAGTGGCTTCGAGTGAGTGATAGGAAACTACACGCTACCGCTCTCCACTTAGCTCGGTGCCGCTTTTGCTTCTTTTCAGTACTTTTTTACACAACTTTAGTTATCGTTCGACTTCCTTCGGCGGTTCCGGCTGATATATCGTATCACAAAACCTGACGTAACTGCATGCTCGGCGGGTGACAGTTGCTGGATGTTCGAAGTCTCGCTGTAGTGCGTACTTAGGTGTATGTACATATAACTACTAGTACTTAATATCGAATGAAACTGATTCGCTATTGAATATGCACGACCAATTGAAATCTATTGGTGGATAGCAAACCGCGCATCTCGGTGATTACAATAGGCTGTAATGGGCGTGTGGCCAACAATGGTGCGACGCTCCGCCCGTCGGCGTAACGTCTTCCTTTTGTATTGTTTACTCGCTTTGGATGACATGATGAAAGGTATTATTATTTTTTTAATTAACTGGTGGATTTGCATGTTTAGGTAACTAATTACAAATGTAGTAGACTTTTAACTGTTACTTGTGCCTCGCAACATGTTTGCATAATTTAGTTGTCTTTAGCGTAATAAGGTGAGGCTAAGTGAGTTACGTTGTGTTGCGTAGTCGGCGGCGCGACGGCACGGGCAGTGCTGCACGAACTGCGGTTCACGAAACACAACGCTGTGGCGACGCAACAATGACGGAGAGCCCGTCTGCAATGCCTGCGGCCTCTACTACAAGCTACACGGTATCAACCGGTAAACGAACAACTTATATTCTATTATAAGTATTACAATCATTTCTTACAAATACCTACAAAAATATCTATGCTATTCGTCCAATGTTCATATTTTTTATACTTTACAGACCGCTAGCGATGCGAAAAGACGGCATTCAGACGAGAAAGCGAAAACCGAAGAAGAGTACCGCCAACGGAGCGAAGCCAGCCGTTGATGCCAACAAGAAAGAGGGACACAACTCCCCGGGGATCGACGGTAAGCAACATTAACGTAATTCATTCGCTGTAAAGTTACCGCCTAGGTCTAATTAGATAGCATCTGCCTACTTATTACCGTACTTATTATTCGTTGTCGTTTTAAAAGACAGAACGGCGCGAAATCGTTGACGATATTTGCGCATTTAACGGACCGAGGTGTTAATTCACGGAAGCCCGTATCGAATCGAGCAATGAAAAGTTGACTGTTCTAAATTTCTAATTACCGAACGGTAGCCATCAATCGTGTTAACAGCTATAATTATAGATCATAATATAAACTCACATCGCGACTTCTAATTTCGGTTAATGAACAGGAAGAACGGTCTACCGATGACATGCCTACCTACTAACTTCAAATGATATGCAACGTAAAGGTATCCGCAGACACGTGATGAATTAATTTCAGAGAGCAAGCCCAACCTGCCGGAGGGGGCGCTGCCTCCGAGCGCGGCCCTGGCACACGCGAAACAGCGCGAGCCGCTGCCCGCGCCAGACGCCTCCCCGCACGGCCACGGCCACGGCCACGGCCACGGCGGCCACCACGCCGGTGCCCCTCACGGCCACGGCGGCCACAGCCAGTACGGGCTGGCGTTGGGCGGCGCGGGCTTCCTGTCGCCGCCGGCGCTCTTCAACATCAAGAGCGAACCCAGCGCCGCCTCCGGCTACGACTCGTACGCGCACGCCACGCCGCCGCAGCATTACCATTCGCATCAGCATTACTTGCACGCGCTCCAGGTATAGCCTTCTTCACTTTTACTCCTTCTTTCTCTTGTGTCCCTCGACCGTTCCCAGCCGGGGAGCTTGGAGTTGCCGGGCCGGCGGCAAATTAATTTGACTTTCTATCTCGAAGCTCGCGGAAACATTATTTCATTAGTACCACTCAACTCTGTTTCAGTACGGCCTGGGCAACAGCGAGGAGGAAGAGGGCAGCGGTTTCCTGCACCAGCGCAACGTGACAGCGCACGCCAAACTCATGGCGTCCACGTAGCGGCGGCGCCGACCTCCGCTTTGCGCCTTTGCCGAGGGCCGTAAACGCCTTGACGCAGATCTCTGACACTAGCGCAATTCGCTAGTCTCGTAGTGATTCACCCCCCCGCGCTGCACTTGTTAAACCGGCCAGTATTCGAGTGCCTTCTTTAAACTCGCAGCGTCTGCATCGAGTGAACTTTAATGGGGATGTTTGTCCTTTACTTCTCGCTTGAAGATCTCGATCTCAACAGACTCTTAAGGTTTCCAACCCCTTGTTACTGCCATACGTTAGTGGCAAATAGAAGTGTTTTGTTTTGTTTTAAGGTTAATGGTAAATTTGAACTCGACTGACCGACTATCGATGAATATAGATTATAATAGATTATTTAGATAAAATTTATTGCGTGTGTATTTAATCAGATAGAATGTACAGTCAAGAGCACATCAAGCCAGACTTCGAACCGTTCTTATAGAGTTCGATTAAAATTATGTGTCAAGCTTGATGTACACTTGACCTGTTTCGCCGTATGTTACGTATAAATAGCAATGCAGTGCCCTCATCCGCAGTACCTACCCTGTAAATAGTATTTTATTATAATAATCTGTTAACAGACCACACTTATTATAATACGTACCTATATACTTGATTTTAATAACTATAGACGTATAAACATAGAAGTATGACATGTTTTAACTTTTGTATTCGTCTCGCATAGAAAGCAACTACTTGTCTAAAGACGTCACTCTGAATTAACCAGCAGTTCTAAATAGCCCAGTTATTATTCTCATTTAAGTCTCTCTTCGTAGCGTTTGTGGTGGTGTAACAGAGGTGATTATTATTGTTTATTCAAATGATCGTGAATGTTTGGGCTTCCTGTGGTTGTACTATACATACTGCTGTGTTCAGGCAGAGTCGAGTAGGTAATTTAAAGTAAAACCAATTCGGTATAAATAGGACATAAAGCGTTCTTTAACCAACCACGAAAATTGGTTTCTTCTCATTCTACGACTGTAGTTGTAGCAGCCTTTTCGGTAGGTACCTACTTCCTTAAAAGTAACCAAGACTATGCTATATTTCAGTTTTAATTACATATTGTCAGATAATTAGTACTTTTATACATACACGAGTATTGCGATTCACATTCATCGACTTTCTTATGTTAATTATGTAAATAGAACTTAGAGTAATAGTAATTACAGTATTCCCCGAGTATAAACAGTATTTAAAATATCTCACTAAGCATTGTGATAACTTCACTAAAACTTTGGATTGTTATAAATTTAAAAAACTATTCGCGTAGATATTTGTTGTAAAGTTTTCTATTCTTCGTTCTTGTACAAAAGATTGTAAACGTGAAAACTTCTACAGTGACATGCAAATTTTAGTCAAGCCTTTCCGGCGGTCATCGTTACGTAGAACAACGAAGACGCGCCGCTTAGAAGCGTGCGTATCGCGCGAAACTGCGAGGTGTAGTATAGGTTGTAAGTAAAATAAAATGGCATTTATGAATAGTGTATATATTTAGTTAGCTATAATATAAATTAGAACAAGAACATCCGACATGGGTCGCACAGTTGTCACATGGATACAAATTTTGCAATAAACGTATTACGTCGGTAAAGCTACGCCCGCTTTTCTTTGCCTCCCCCGCCCCCGCCCCCGCCCCCCGGCGCCGCTAGGGCTGCGGCGCGTCGGCCGGCGCCAGCGCCCGCAGCGCCGCGCCCGACAGGCGGTAGTAGCACCACCGCTCGGCGGCCGTGAGGTTCACGGCGCCCTTGCTCTCGTAGAAGCGCCGCGCCTCGTTCCACTCCAGCACGTGGAAGTCCAGCCGGCTGCAGCCGCTGGCCGCCGCCTCCTGCCGACGAGCGCCTTCGCGTCACGGCCCCGGCCACGCCACGCGCAGCGGGTCGCTCGAAGGCACGTTCAAATATATTGCAAATAATATTTTAACGTACATTTTAAGAATAGGTGGGAAAGTTTTAAGTTTACAATTCATTGTAAGCCACCGGAACTGGTAAATGGCGGAGATGTCGTATTGGCCGCGACAATACCGCATCGCGATAAAAATGATCGCGACTAGGTCGGGACGTGGCACCTTACGCGCCGTAGTCTCGGTACTGAATTTCATGAGAAAGGAGAAGTACAAGTTGCGGCCGACACGAAGGCGCCGGCGCCCGGCGGCCGTACCTCGGCCACGTGGCGGAAGAGGCGCTGGCCCACGCCGCGGCGCCGCTCGGCGGGGCGCACGTACAGGTCCTCCAGCATCATGGCGCGGCCCTGCCACGTGGAGTACGTGGGGAAGAACAGCGCGTAGCCCAGCAGCGCGGGCGCCGCCGCCAGCTCGGCCACGGAGCAGCGGAACGCCGGCGGCGACGACTCGAAGCCGTCGCGCTCCAGCTCTGCCGAGACGCAGCACGCACAGAATCGCCTAGGGTTTCAACGTAACAGCGCCCGCGTTGTGGCGCACCGTATCAAAAATAAGTATCGAACGAATTTTCATAATGCGGCCACGGTGCTGGTCACCGCCGTGATAACGATATCGAACCGATAAGTTACAATGATTCCGCTCACCTTCGACCGACATTTTCGGACCCTCGGGCATTTTCTCGAAGTCGGCGAGTTCCTGGAAATCAGCTAACGATTCGTGCATCAATTGGAAATACTAAAGTGATACTGATATGAAAAGGTACTATTATAGCCTCAGTATAGTAAATATGAAAGTTCGCCACCTGAATCATTTTTGCCACTGTGGCCATGTCTTCCTTCCTGGCCGGACGTATATTTATTTCGTCGTCGTTGTACTTTATAACGCTGGTGGCACTCATCGTATTCACCAAAAATGCACAAAAAAACAAAAAACAATTTCTTTTATTATACCACCACCACGCGCGCCGTCAGTCAGTCGTTCTCACATGTCTCTCTAAAAAGTCTAAAATGTGATTGTGATCAGTGTTGCCAGACTTTTGCGAAGTTAATTCGGCAATTTAAGTGTGTTATGTAGCCGATATTTGCCCGGGGGTAATTTTTTTCTTATTCTTTGGCACAATTGCGTCCAGCCTTTGGCCACATGCAATTTCATTGGGCTGCCAATTTTTGGTAATTCTTCCAAGTAAATCTTTGCTTCGTTATTGTCATTGCAAAGATTTCTTTGTTGTCGTGGAACTTTGATGTGGGTTTTTGGATAGTAATAGGAAACTAAAAACGGGGAAAGAAAATCGCGGAACAAATATAAAAGCGAATAGAATTTTGAAAAAGTGATCAACAGGATAAGGTAGGTAGTATATTATAGGTAAATCTAAACAATGAACGATGGAAATTATGAGAGGAAATGGTAATGGCTGAAAATAATGTTCGGTGGATAAATAATAATCTAAATTTTAGTATCATTTTACCTTATGAACTGAGCCAGTGCATTATAAACGGAATAATTATTATACGATAGTAACAAAGGAATACTTAGATGTTGATAAAGAAATTTGTAAAGAAATTATATATAAATTGAAAAAACGAAGCACGGTTATATCTTGGACAGAAAAAGAAAAGGTGGTTCAAACTGCCAATGTCTTGTACGCGTTCGCATATTGAATCAGGTATTTATTGAGTCTAACACGATGTCCATATGAGCAAGTATGTCCTAATCTCATTCTTGTAATGATTGAAGCAACACGTTTCTCAAAATGTATACGAAAAAACCAGGGTTGACAGGCATGTCGGGCTGTATAAAATACTTAGGGTCGTATTCTAGAACTCTACTCAATGCTCAAGTCAGGACTTGAGTATGATCAACTGACCTGCCCCTCCGTTGGCGCGGGAGCCCTGACGTAAGTTAGGGCGGCCGAGCGGCGTCGTGGTGAATGTGCACCGACCCCACGGGGCCAATTCAAATTCAACCAGCGGGAGGTAAACCCGGGAGAGTTTTAGTGGGGTAGGCCCTCCAGTCTGGAGGGTGAGTCTCCACATAACCCCTGAGTCTCCCTAGGCTCAGAAATCATACTCAAGTCCTGGCTATTAGGGTCGTATATCCAGTGCTTGAAATCATACTCAATTCTGCTCAAATCCTGACTTGAGCATTGAGTACAGTTCTGGAATACGACTCTTAGAGGATGAAGTCTCGAACCATATTCCAGAACTCTACTCAATGCTCAAGTAAGGACTGGAGTATGATTTGTAGTGCCATACAATTTTTAGACAATTTTCCAGAATCCGAAATATATTTCATAAAGGCAGTGTATTAACTTCAAATCATGTTTAAATAAAAACAAGAACCCAGAAAGCCAATCATCATCATCATTCAGCCATACGACGCCTACTGGTGGACGACGATCGGTCCTGGACTGCCCGCATCCATCGACTTCCCGCGACCTTTACCAGATCGTCGGTCCACCTGGTGGGGGGTCTACCCACTGAGTGTCGTCCGGTGCGCGGTCGCCATTGAAGAACCTTTCCGCCCCAAATTCCGGCCATCGGTTCTCCTAGCTATGTGCCCCGCCCACTGCCACTTCAGCTGAGCAATTCTTCGAGCTATGTCGGTTACCTTAGTTCTCCTACGGATTTCCTCATTTCTGATTCTATCACGTAGGGAAATACCGTTAATATATACCGGAAATACGTCTCTGATCTATATGTAATCAGTGACAACACACACTGGTCGAAGACTTTCATCTTGAGACACTGAGGTAATTTGGACGCGAAGATTTTTTGTAGTTTCCCGAACGCTGCCCATCCGAGCTGGATTCGATGAGAGATCTCTTTCTCAAAGTTGGACTTACCCGACTGGACTGTCTGTCCTAGGTATACGTAATGGTCAACAACTTCAAGTGCAGTGCTCCCAATTTTAACTGGAGCGGGTACAACATGGGCATTCGACATGATCTTCATCTTGTCCATGTTCATTTTAAGACCCACTCTTTGGGAAACACTACTGAGATCTTCGAGCATTGTGTTCAGGTCTCGCAAGGTCTCAGCCATAAGAACTATATCATCTGCAAATCGAAAGTGTGTTACATACTGATCTTGGGTGAGGTGACTGAGGTGTGATGATACTTGATGCCAAGTCCTTTCCAGTCCAAAAGCTTGAAAATATCCTCCAACGCAGCAGTGAATAGTTTCGGAGATATCACATCTCTCCATCTCACGCCTCGTTGCAGTTGAATAGGATTAAAGCTCTGATCCTCTAATCGGACTGACATAGTGGCGTTTTTGTATAAGTACCTTATCACCTCGATATACCTATTTTTCTTGGCACCTTTGGAGAGAATGCAGCACTGCCCAGGTGTCGATCGAATCAAAGGCCTTCTCATAGTCCACAAACGCTAAGCAAAGTGTCCGGTTATACTCCTCAGTCTTCTGTAAGACCTGCCGCAGCGTATGGATGTGGTCTATGGTACTAAAACCCTTTAGGACACCGGCTTGTTCGCGAGGTTGGAAGTTGTCAAACCTGCGGGCGAGACGATTCGTGATAACGCTCGAAAACAACTTATAGATATGGCTCAAAAGATAGTTCTTCAAAAGTGTTTTGTCACTCTTTTTGAAGAACAGGACGACCTCGCTTATGCCCCATGACTTCGGGGTTTGACCTTCGACGATGACAGAATTGAAAGCTTCTGGAAGACATTAAGTATTTGCTTGCCACCCTCCCTTAGAAGTTCTGTAGTGATTCCATCATAGCCAGCCGCTTTGTTGTTCTTGAGTTGTTCGAGTACTAATCTCATACGTCCGGGATATCTTCGGTATAATGTTGGGTAAGCTTGGCTCTGGGGTCTTTAGTCTTGCTTTCAACAGGTGCTTTTGTGGAGAATAGCTGTCGATAAAAACCCAATTGAACGCATGAATTTGGAGATATGTATAGGGAAAAAATAATCCCCGCGTTGGCCACCAGGGGTCTTATGAGCCGATAACTCTATGCTTATTATGTTTAGAGTACTCTTTGGTATCTCTTACTTTTATAATGGTTTGTTTTTCAGTCATAGAGGATGGAAAAAAAATAAAGGTTTCCATAGTCTAAGTTTTCAGTGGATAAATTTCATTTCTCATTGACCAGCAGTGATGCCAGATTAGGCGATTTTTCGCCATTTAGACTATTTCGAGGTGTCGTGCGGCGACTAAAAAAGTCATCGGCAACTCGGTGCTATTTAGGCTATGTTTGAAAGAGTTCATATTCCCCAATTTCCGGCAGCAAGCAGAATTGTAGAATTGTTTTCCTTGATTTTTAGGGATTTTATGGCTTAGGCGAATATCTGCTACTTAACACACATAATTGGCGAATTAACTTCGCAAAATTCTGGCAACACACTCTCATTGTCATTGACAATTCATGATTTTGACAATGACAAATACAATTGCGATTTCGTTCAAAAATTATCATCAACGTTTCTTTATGTATTTTGTCTATGTTGACTACTGTTGTTTATGAAAAATTTCAAATATTGGAAATTTATCCGGAAAATTTTGAGAGATGGGAATAATATAATTTCGAAGGCTTATAATTTATGTCCTATGTTTAGAAATATCTTTCGAGGTTTTATTTATCGTGAATTATAAAATAAACTTCGTACGTCTAGAACGATAATGACATTGGTGCAAAAATTTATTTTTTGAGAAATACGCTTTTGAAATATTTTTATTTACTCTAACTGATTTTTTTTTCGATTGGTATTAATTATAATGTTTTTATGCAAAATATCATTAACAAGGATATAGGCTTTATTTGTGAAAAAGTTTCATTGTTCTCAATCAATATTTTGCTTGCTATTTATTTATTATTTAGGCAGGTACCTACAGTTGCGTCGTTGTTCTTATTAAAATGTTTATTAACTTTAAGTATGCCAGAAGAACATTGACGTAAAGTCAGAACATAAGACTTATAATAAAAATTAATTCTTAGATCGATAGTTAATAATTACTTCAATCAATACAGCATTATACTTTGGAACACGTTTCAGTTTCTAATACTAGCAGTAAGCATAAAGTATATTAAGAGTTTTATTAAAAGTTATATTTCGAGTTCTTAGGTTTTCGCGATTGTTACACATAGGAAATGAAACTATTTCTCCGGATTTAAATCGCGTATATTTGTTTTTCAAACAAACCGACATTTCGGGCCCTTTACAGTCCCATGGTCACGGTTGTCAACTGTGACTTAAATCCGCTTTTTGAATCCGGAAAAATAGTTTCATTTCCTAAGAGTTATATTGATTTAACCGTAAGTACTTTCAACTAACAATGATCATAATATAACTAAAAGTTATAATGCAATAGTAATGGTTTATTACAAAACTTCAAAAATTAATAACAATCAAATATTTTTATTAGGTTTTCCTTTCCTGGTGAAATTATACAGTATAAAAATGCTTAAAGAACAAAATAAAAGTCTTGTCAAAATTATCTTAAACAGAGGAGTTTATAAATAATAGTGATCCTAATTTACTTTTTGAGACCCAGTCATTCTTTTACACATTAAATAAACTTAAACAACTTATTATTATAGGATATAACAAAATATAGTTTATAATTTATAATGACACAAAACAAAGTTACGTCAATGTTGTTCTCTGAACTCTGCTGCTAGTTGCTCCCTGAGGGGGCAGCTGGTCTCAACTAGCCAATGAGTCGTTTTTTAATTACACTACCCTCAGATGAAAAAAGGCACAACTGCTGTATATAGTACGCATAGTTGTGCCTTTTTTCGTTACGAGGGCAGTACAGTCCCTCTCTAATTACACAATAACGCAAATTCCCTCTAGTGGCAATATGGCTAATTATTTAAAAGTCCATGTCGCACTAGAAATTTTAATAGTTTTTAAGTCGTTTCCTATTATTAGGTTACTTTTGAAATTTTTGCACTTACGTCATTGTCGTTTTATAGGTGCGTGTTAAAAGTCATCTAGAAGAAAAAAACGAGATTTAAAATGATTTCACAACAGCGAAAAAACCTCCAACATCCACCCCAATACCAACGCTGTTGGCTCCGTCGTTTTCGTTCAGTAACTTCAACTTTTGACAGGTGTCAACGTCAAATGTGGAAAAATAAAAGAAAAAGCATTTAAAAAATATCCGAAAAGTAGGTATTTATTTTTCTGAAAATATGACTTTCAAAATGGAAAATTTTCCATTACCCAACACTAATTGTACAGTGCAATATCGTATGGAACATCGTACTTATGTTGTCACTAAATAACTTAAGATTTAAATTCAAGTTCATAGCGCTCACGATAAGACGGGTCCAACAAAGAAACAAGTTTGATATGCTCTAGACTTTACCTAGTATTCTTTATTATATATTTCAAATATTTTTATGATTTCATTTTCAAAACTGTGCAACATTTTGTACCTAGCCCTGTAGGACGTTGAGAAATTCTGCAGCACAAAAATCCTTTTATCATACATTCATACAAATTTGTATTGTATGAAGTTGTATTTTAAAATTAATTTTGCATGATTTAACTTCGACTGGGTTCGGAACTTTTATTTCTATTAATATTTCAAACTGTAACCTTTGTTAACTGTTAGTTCTCCGAAGGTCAGCTTCACAGACAATGCAGGAAAAGCTAAGAAATTATTTCTTACAATAAAAATCTGGATTCTTTTTTAAATAAGTGTTTTAATTTATAATCTTAATTATTTTACAATGTCAGTCAACGAAAGTTGAAAATAATACATAACTATACCTACATATTTCATTTAATATAATCTTTACTTGACAGTATACAAAGTAAACGTAATTTTTACTACAATAATTAATTTCTTCTACCTAGAAATACTTGGAACTCAAAAAATGATATGAATATTATTTTAAAAAGAATCGCGCTCCCAGTCTAGTTACAATATCAACACGACGTTAGTATAAAAATATACTTTCATTTTAAACAGGTAGTTGTCAAAGATTATTGCACGCGCTTTGGAACAAGTCGAGCAATACTATAACGAGATTAAAATTTAACTTAAACGATTCTCTAATATATACACATTTGTATACTCGTACGCTCGGTCCCACATTAAACTGTAGGAACGTTGTGCAAACGAGGTAAAATATAATTTTGAATAAAAAAATTTGACAGATGCATATCTTCATTACAGGGTACTTTCTGAATCTGTGTTAAGCCGGATTAGTCTGACGTGTGTCGTGAGGCGTCAGAACGGTATGGGTTTCATACAAACAACACAAGCCGTCACGTCAGATTGCGACACGCTAACGTAACTCTAACCGTATTAAATGTATGAAACCGATACCGTTCTGACACAACACAACACGACACGTCAGACAAATGTACATCCGGCTTTACGGTTTATCGCTCGCGTAGAAGGCACCACTACGGTATTTACCAGTACTAAAATAACAGGTAGCATTAGAAATGGGTCGGCCAAAAGTCCGGGTGGTACAAAACTTTAAAATTTAATTTTACCATTTGTTATTTGTAGTATACGTAAAATATTAAAAATTGACCATGTTGATCTGTAATTTTTGTCATCTTTCGGGTAATCTTATATAATAAAAATTCTGTACAAATAAAGTTTTTAGTGTCGTTCGCTGGCCTCTTCATTATAAGTCGCGTCCATTCAAAGAATTTGTGAAAGTCGAAAGGATTGAAAATCTGAAGGGATACTGGCTTTGTGGGGATGCGCGCTTACGATTCGCCGGTTCTGGGCATTTTCACGAATTACAAATTTACTATTTTACCTCATTATTTTGAAAACGACCACTGACAACGTAACATTTAAAGAAAAAAGACAACCGCACGGACCTTTCGGCCAACCCGCTAGGTTTCAATTTGAATATTCGAGAAGGAGCGACTCTTTCCCGCTTAAGGCCCCCGAATCGCAACCGGGCACCGTCGCCGGCCGGCGGAGTGGCGAAGTCCTCGGCGGCGGGCGGCTAGTGCGGGAACTCGTGGCGCAGCCCGAACTCGGCCGCGTAGGCGCCGGACCAGGAGCCGGCCGCCAGCGCCGACGACGCTGCGGCAAGGGGGCGGTGAGCGGGGCCGGGGGGCGCGGCGGCGCGCGGGGGCTACTCACCGAGCAGCTTGTCCTTGGCGTCGGCGGCGGCGGGGGCGGCGGCGGCGGCGGGGGCGGCGGGGGCCTGCTGCGCGCGCGCCTGCGCCTGCGCCTTGAGCAGCTTGCTCATGGTGTTGCGCGGCGTGGCGGGCGCGCGCTCCAGCGCCCGGCCGTGCACGGCCGACGAGTGCCGCTCCAGCATGTAGCGGCGCTCGAAGCGCTCGGCGCAGAAGGCGCAGCGGAACAGGCGCCGGCGCGGCTGCGGCGGGGGCTGCGCCGGCGCCTCGCCCGCGCTCTCGTGCATCTTGCTGTGCGCCAGCATGTTGTACCTGCGCAGGGGAGCGTCAGCGCTGGCGGGCGGGCGGCGGGGCGGCGGGGCGGCGGGGGAGGGCACTCACCGCTCGGAGAAGCGCTTCCCGCAGACGCCGCACTCGTGGCGCTTCTCGCCGGAGTGGATCCGCTTGTGCCGCTTGAGGTGGCTGCGCGTCATCAGCGCCAGGCCGCACACGTCGCAGGCGTGCGGCTTCACGCCCGAGTGCGACAGCTTGTGCATCTTGAACGACGACGTGTGGATGAACGACTTCCCGCACAGGTCGCACTGCAACAGTCGTCTCTTAGAGTTCGCGACGGCCACCGACCGGGTCGAACGGTCGGGACGACGGAACAGAGGAAGTTCACCGTTTTATGAATATTTCCAACGAAAGTAACTGTAGAATCTTGCGACCGAAAAGATATTCAGCCAAATCACTATTCGTGACGTCTTTAACCATACTCACTCCTTACGTGTTGCGAACACGAAGTTCGACTTATTATGGGAGTCTTTGAATAAAGATAACTAACTATAAGTAGTTGAATGTTCTTACTAGACTTATTTTGAAACTTAGTCAATAAGGTGGGTATTACTTGTTTACCAAAATATTGCCAGTCAGGGTTAGGCCAGCAGCAAACGCCAATCTGAATGTAACAAAGGTAACTTTGTTTGGACAAGAAAAGGTTGGTGAAGGTTTCCCGTACCGTAGACCGACTTCTACACAGCAAATTAAAACAATTACCATACAATGAGTAATTGATAATGATTTAACATAATGATAAAACAACGATTGCGAATTTGCTAACAGAAATAGCTCTAAAGGTAAACACACTATCGGATGTCACTACAGATGATTTTCTGTACATGCTTTTATAGCTGACCTTTTAATTATCAGCCAAATGTTAATATCATAATCTTTGGCGAAACAATAATAATAACGCGTAATAATAATAATAACAATAAAATACATGTTATCTTTCTCTTGGTATCACTCAGTACTAAAATATCGAGATATAGCAACAAAGATATCTAAAAATAGTCTGCGTTTGTAGACAGCTGAGCGCTAGCCGCCTGCCACTTTGGAGACCATTCCGAAATTTGAGTAGTCTGGACAAAAAGCCTGACATTTGCAAGTAAGTCCGGACTTTTTCTCTCGCACGGTAGCGGTGATGTCCAAGCGCGCGCAGCAAAATTATTATCGTAAATCGAGTTTAATTCAAATCTATTGATATTATTACAAAATGCTTCTAGCCGTGTCATTGTCCAGCGCAGTAAATGAGAGTATACAGAATTGCGAACTGGATATTTTACTTTTTATTGTGAGAATTGTTACCTTAAGCCCAAAAATCCGGTCAGAAGCAAAAAACCGAACATTTCCGGAATAATCCTGACGGATTGATTATCACTAATATCAGGTTTCTTACCACGGTATGACTTCTTTTTATTTTCCCCATATTTAGGAACGGTTGCACGCTCCATGGTCACGGGTTGACTCACGGAATCCTGACGGATGCTAACCCTACCTAGCACCCAGCACCGAGCACCGCCTCGCGTATTCATTTCATTGACGCAAACAGCAAATTTTCACATGATATTTTCAGAAATCAGAAACATTTATTGTACGAACCTGTAAAAAAATTGTTTACCCCAGTCAGACGAACAATGTCTTAAAATTAGTAAATTCAATAAAATAAACTACAATTTAAATGTCCATAAATGAAAATTAAACATGAAACAAAATTTTCAAACATTTGATGTCTCTTTGTAAAATTTATTTCAATTATAGAAAACATTATCAATTAGCCATTTATTTAAATGAGACTTGAATTCGTTAGAATTTAAACATTTCATATTATTCGGATCTCTATTACAAATTCTGATCGCGCTTTTTACCTTTCCTCCTTACATTAGGAGTCCTTCGTTGCCTACGTACATTGCATTGGATATATAAGTAAAAAAAGTTACTGTGATTACGTACAAAGAGGCAACCTATTACCAAAACATATATTCCTGACAATGTCAGGAAGCTCTTATGTTTCACCTCTTTGTATCGCCGCTCTCCGCTTGTATCCTATCGTTTTTTATTTTACACGTATTTAAATTTTAAATTTGAATTGTTCCATCTTCCTTCACTTTCTCATTTTGTTTTCGTACCACGGTCATTCCCAGCTCGACCGCCACAACAGTCGGAGCTGTTCCAAATTCCATTTACTAAAATCTTATTTTTTATTCTTTACCAAGTTATAATACAAAACATAATACAACAGTCGAAGCTAAAGAATTATCAAAAATTTGCTGCAACAGTTATATATATATTTTAGTTTATATATATATATATATAGCTATACATAGCTATATATATATAGCTATGTTCTTTCATAAAAAATATTACTCAAATAAATTGGGCAGAACGCACGACACAGATCAAAGCACAGATAAAACCACAGACCAGATAAGTGGATAAAACCACATTTAGAATTTAGTTGTATTAATATCATAGCTGGCAACTTACAAGAATAAACTTTAAGTTTTTTCCTGTAAGTTGGCGGCTATCGCCGAAGTCATCCGTGTTTAAAACGAAACCTTAATCAAGTAAAAATACGATTTAAATTGTCGTGAATACTATTCGACTACGACGCCGGCTTATTAGTGCTGCTGATTGGTTGAGTGAGATCCATCGGGAAAGCTACAGTACGTCGTATTCTCAAGGACTTGTACTACGCGTTTATTAATGCATTATTTGAAATTTTGAATATAAGATTTTTAAGTGGTGGGGAATGCGCGCTGTCTAGTGAGTGTTTTTATCAAAACAATTTTCCGCGTATAATAATACGCGGAAATAAAATTTTAGGCACGCCATCGCCAGTGGAAATCGAGTTGAAGTATGGATGCCTCGCTTCTGCACCCCGGACACTCCTTATAACAGTCGAAAGTTAGTTACCTACTATTACTACATACAGCAAGGCGCTATCTGCACACGCGCAAATGTGTGCGTGAAGTGGCAGGGCATTTTCCGGCAATACAAATTTTTCAAGAACTCTTGTCTACTAGCTCATGAACTTATGGCGTCTCATTATATTGATATAATAAATCTGTAGTATGTATTACTCTGCACTAAATAAATGAAAAATGCAATAACTGAATGAGTCTCAGACAAGTTTTTTGTTTTTTTTTTGTCACCTTTCGGAAAACCAAAGAAACTCCTCTCTTTATCCTGTTTAGATGATGATAAACAGCCGTACACAGCACAATCCACAGCCAATATAAATAGTAATCAAAACCCTCTTAGCGCAAGTGACCGTCAATGTGCGAGGTGTGGTGCGGTATCTAAAGCTAGGGAGGGGCGGAGAGTGTCCGATCTCGTTACTTTTTTGTTCTCTGATACGATGTGACGGGCACCAGCAACTCGACGTCAGGCGCCTATTTTGCAATTATTGTAATTACTGAGTAAGCACATGGCAGTTCATTGATATAGATTATAAAGAGAAGCCGACACAATAAACTTCCCTGTGTCAATCTCAAAATACTTGTTAAGTATGTCGATCTTGCCTCGTGCACGCATTTACGCAGAATCCCATAAATTTTCAAGTTGCAAAACAATACAACAACATGTAACGTTGTAAATGAATAACGTTGTTGTGGGCTCAACGGACATAAGTTTTTTGTGTGACATATTTTATCCATTAAATTTTTATTGAATTGGTATTCAATTATTTTTTGGAAAATTAGTCCACTAGTTTGTTATAATTATTAATACAAAGATCGAACACTCAGAAAAAATTCCTTCGATCCGGTCGGATTCGAACCGACGTCTTCTTGCATACCGTGCCAGACGCTATACCAACTAAGCCACGGAACGAACCAACGGACCTCACGAATTTTTCTATGTGCTTGCGTCGTGTCTTTGTACTTGGTCTTTCAACGACTTTTTAGTCCATATTTTATCCATTTTTGTCTTTCAGTTTCTAGTCACGGCGAATCGAAAGTGTCTTAATAATTCAAGAGAACATTTAGAGCAAATTGAACGCTGATTTTGACAGCGACGAGGGAGAAATCGGGGAAAGTTCTGTATCTGCACGTTTTCAGATAACGAAGAGGATTTTGTCAGAACTAGTGATCATGAAACATTCAGAAATATCTGATAGCGAAAATCCTAATGAAAATAAAGTTGAAATGATTTTTCTGTGAACCTTACATGATCTGCCTATTTACATGACATATTATATAAAAAGTGTGTGCAATTCATGTTTATAATTAGGTTAAATTGCACTTGCAATAGTGTCATTTTTTTACGTGGAGATACTTTTAATTTTATTTTATCTTTGTAAAACAATATATGTATGTATTTTCAAATGTAAAAGTTTTTTTTTCGTTTTTCGACATTTGTTTGTTTTTTATTGACTGTTTTTAGTAGACCTGATTTTAGATTAAGAAAATTAGGACTGATATAAATAGATATATACATATATGGGTCAATCAACTATTCTTTGTACATTCCCATGTCCCTAAGATAAAAGTACGCATATTTCGCAAAAATGAATACTGTATTGACCAATTATTTTAAAAATAGTAATTAAGACAACACATTATTTCCTTAAAATATAGTTTTACTTGAAATCGACATTATTTTTTATTATTTTTATAGTAACTTAGAGGACAAAATCTGATTTCCATACAAAATCTTCCTGTCCCAGTGGTTAGTTGAGTTACTGTCTAAGGCCACATTTCGAAAATTCTCTATAGCCGTATAAAACTACCATTCTTAAAATATTCTACTGTATTTTTAGAAATCAAAAACCATTTTCAAGATTTTCTGTAAATGAACATATACATACACAGTGTTTAAAAAAAATCAACGAGATGTGTCCCCGAATTGAGAATTATATGACGGTCCCCTAAGTTACAATGCATGTGCTTTTATCACTAAAAGATAAATGTCTCTAGTGGTTCTCTAATGAAGCATTAAAGGCTCAGAATGGTGTGATGTTATTTCGCCATTTTGTTTTCGTCACCGCGTTTCCCTCACTCCCGCGCAAGTCAATCAAGGGTGAAGGTGTGTTTATTGTGTGTCCCCACAGTTCCGGCATATAAATTGGTAAATATTCATTAATTTACTTAGAAAAACGTTGCTAATTGTTTCACTTGTGTCTGCATACTACTATTGATAAACAGTCACGTATTAATCGAAAATAATCCAATGATATTAAAGTATAACCTATAAAATGTCCCCTCAGTTACTGGTCACTTAAGTTACAGCAAATGGTAACTTAGGGGACACGACCGTAACTTTAGAGACATTATAATTGAATTTTAAGATTTTAATTGTATGGTAACTCGTTTCAGGATTTGTTCCATTTAGAAACGCTAACTGCGATTACTTTTCTCAATTACGATATGTTTTTTGGGCAGTTTTTTTCATAATTAACCAAATTCATTAGTGGCAGATATACAATAGTAGCATGGCTCTTACAGCCGCTGAAAAGCAAAGAAGATACCGAGATACCGAGAAAGACTTAAGAAAAATCCAGAGAAGTACGAGGAAAGTAAAAGAAAACTAAGAGAGCATTATCACAAAAATAAAAGGTTGACTGGAGATTTATCCACAAAAGAAAAATATAATGCAAGATATAAGATATATGATATGGAAGCTACGTAAACGTAATCAACGCCAACGTGCAAAATTGCTTGCCAATGTAATAAACGAAACACCGGCCGGATCGTCATCACCACCACCGATTGCTAATGAATATGCAGCCCTCAGGGCACAAGAGTCGAATTCACCTACTCCGTCTAGTCGAAATACTCCTGACACAAGAAGAGGAAGGAAGGCTGTACGTAGAGACAGAACCAAAAAAAAAGATTGATTATTTCTATTATTATAACATATGATTGTTTTAGCTGTTTTCGGTGTTTCGTTACAATTTTAGTTTAGTTTGTGCCAATAAATGTCTTTTTCTGTTTCTAACCTTCTTTTAATGAACCTGGATCCTAGTAACCAGTACCTCGGTAGTTAGCTTGTGGTCTTCTAAGTTACTGAAATGTCTCTTAAGTTACTCAAGTCCCTACAAATTTAATTAGTAAATTTAAAATATTAGGCATAATCTTCTTGTTCTTTTTTTGTAAATTTATGCTCGTTAATAGTAACTTAATAATAACTTACAGATTAACACAAAAGTAGTTTTGCATTATGGCGAATCCTTCAATTATTTTAAAAATAAGCTTATAAAATGTTTGTTCGTAACATAGGAGACACAAAGTTGCTCTTTATTTGACGTGTATTAGTTTATTGCCTTGAATTTTATTTATACATAACTAGTATTATTGTAATACACTCTAAATAACCATTTTCAAATAAAGAATATGCATTTCGTTAATTCTAACAATTGTTTACCTAAAGGTAACTTAGGGGACAAAATCTATGCTATCAGTAGCAAAAAATCTGAAATCGATGGTTATAAAACAGAAATCTGCACTGCCAATGACAGAATTAAATACCCTAGTATATGTTATAATAAATAAGATAAATAATACTGCTTATTTTAAAAATATTTATTTACAATTTTCTATTCGAAATTCTCTGTCAGATGTACAAAGAATAGTTGATTGACCGATATATGTTCCTACCGTTAATTTTATATGATACCGCATAATTATGATATAAAGTTAAATCATAGTTTAATTAAAAACAATACTATAACTATATCATACTTTCTATTTTATCACCATTCCAAGATGTGATCCCATGACTGTGGAAACATTATTTTTTCCATGACTACAGTTAAGAGTTAATAATAGTTGCTTGTTTATTTTGTTATTTTGTGTTACACATAAAATGACTACTTTCGTGCCCTACAGTAAAAAATGAAAATTAAAAAAGAGGGTAATTTGTCATTCGTCGTAGTCGGTTCCACGTGTCCCTAATTTCAAGAAATGAAGATTAAATTAAACACTCAAGGAAATTGCAACGTTGAACACATACTGCAACTTTCCAATTAAAATAAACAAATATGTTTTCTATATACAAAATGTGTTCCAATTTTTCTTATCATTACTTAATAACAAAAGTTCATACCGCATCATCTTCACCCTTCACACTTGTGAGAAGGGGTTTCTCGAATTGGAGTATACACAGTGAAATAACCTGCGCATCTTAAGAACACTGTTTTTGCCTAACATGTCTTACAGCAACATCTTAGTACTGTTTCATTTCTTCAATTTTAATTACTATTTCACTGATCATACTGTGAACTGCCTTGGGGGCAAAAAGCAGTACCTGAAAACCATATTTTTGGTCTCACCCTGTAAACATACTTACCTGATAGTTTAACTTTCCTGTGTGTATGTTGTTATGACGCTGCAATGCACCCTTGGATGGGAATAATTTATTGCACTCTTCACATTTCCAATCACTGATTCCTGCAATAGATATTGACAATATGAAATACCTCGAAATTCCTACACCTCCACATGTTCATAGAATGCCCAAATCAAAGGTATATAAAATTTGTATATTAACCATGGTTACCTTTGTGTAATGCCACATGGATGTCACATGCGCGTTTGTGTTTGTAGTGGGCACCACACACTTCACAAATGTAAGGTGGTTTGCCATCTGAATGCTTCTCCAAGTGTGCCTCAAATCGTCCTAAAATATGATTCATTTTTGTAAGTTAATGTTTTTCTACCTCCTGAGTGTAATCAGACGTAAGGTAAAAATATAAACTCACTGATAGAAGTATACTTGGCATCACATTGATCGCACTGGTGCACTACTCTTTCATTTTTCTTTTTCCTAGTGTTCCTTCTTGCCTTCCCAGCTACTCCAGCACGCCGCTGGCGACCATTCATCTCTTCAGGGCAGAATGTGGAGCTCTCATCATCGTCTATCTCCATCTTAAATACGCTTTCCAGGCCGTGGGAACTTTCAGAACTGAAATTATATGGTAAACAAAAATACATCACAACCCACCATCGCTTTTTCACAAACTTTCCTATTCTTATCCTCCCACTAAAGTGTGTTAGGAATGCATATGATTTATTGTTGTCAAATATGTTTTGAACCTTGATGTATGAGCCACATTAACTTTCTTTAAATACACTAAAAGACTCTGAAATGGTGGCACTAATGTTGAGCCTTCTTTGCAGAGCATGCATGGAGGAGGACAAAACTACAGGTTATAATACCTTAGAGAGCCAAGAATGCGTCCCAAAGTCTGCAGCTTGGGTACTAGTACCCTGCAACCACATACATGCAAAATAGGTGCCAATATGTCAATATGTCACACCATACCATATTAGGTGAATCAAATATAAACGGTAATTTTTAAAATTATATTTATTGAATAATATTATACAAAAACTATACCTTCAACATTTTTCAATATAGTCTCCTGCATTATCTACACACTTCTGCCACCGATTTGGAAGCTTGAATATTCCTTCTTCATAAAAAGATTGAGGGCGAGTTGTCAACCAATCGCGCACGTGCTTCTCGACATCGTCATTGCTTTCAAATCGTTTTCCTCCAAGTGATTCTTTCAAGGGCGCAAACAAAAAGTAGTCGCAAGGGGACAAGTCTGGACTGTAAGGAGGGTGTTCGAGAGTTTCCCAGCCCATTTCTTCCAATTTATCCCTTGTCAACAATGCGGTGTGAGGCCTTGCGTAGTCATGGAGAAGGATGACATCTCTAATGGGCACACCTCTTCTTTTGTTCCGGTAACTAGTTTTTGCCGACTGTAGGACCTGGCAGTAGTAAGCTGCATTCACTGTTCGTTGATCGTGAAGAAAATCAATGAGTAGAACTCCCCTTGAGTCAAAAAAAATTGTTGCAAGAACTTTTTCGGCTGAGAGACGAGTTTTGGTTTTCACTGGGCAGCCTTCATCCTTCCTTCGCCACTCCTTACTTGCCATTTTCGATTCGGGAGTGTAATGGTGGACCCACGTCTCATCACATGTGACGATGCGCCTCAAAAAATCTTCACCTTCTTCTTGAAATCGATGCAGAAGTCTCCCAGCGATCACCGACCTGACCTGTTTTTGATTTCCGGTCAACAACCTCGGAACCCATCGAGCACTAATCTTTCGGAAGCCAAGGTGGTCTGTGATTGCAGACTGAACACTACCGTAGCTGATACCAATTTCCGACGAGATTTCTTGAACAGTTAACCAGTGATCACCTTCAATAAGCTCTCGAACGGCACTAATGTTTTCATCTGTAAGACTTGACCTTGGGCGTCGACGGTGACTTTCGTTTTCCACACGTTCTCGTCCATCCCTAAATTCTCTGGCCCACGTATACACTCGATTCTGAGACGGAGTAGTGTCCCCAAACTGTGCCCGCAAACGAGTAAAAGTTTCCGAAGGTTTAACACCTTCATTTGCTAAAAATTTTATGACGATGCTTTGCGCAACAGATGGATGTACCTCTTGCTCGGTCATGGCTGTACTGACGGCAGAACACAACACTGCTGCGAAGTAAGCTGTTACCCCCACTCCTATTAAACAAAACAACAACAACAACACCGCCACATCAGGTCCGAATGTATTTGGTACAGTCAACAGTAAAATTACCGTTTATATTTGATTCACCCTCGTATAAAGAAAAAATAAGTACTTTGAATATCCCAACATGGTGCAGGTCAAAACTCAACTAGTCAACCTTAGCAATCACTAGTAAAAATCTGACCGTCTGGTTACTCATATAAATAACTACACAACAGCATTTCGTACCCTTCGATTGAGTCTTCATTTGTGACATCAGGCAGTATGGACTTTGGCTCTACTTTTTCTACTTCCACCACTGTTTCCCAACTGAAATGTAATATATGTAATGTAGCATATTCAATTAATAATTGTAGTAGGACCTATAAAAAACATTTCTATTCAGAAATAGCTGATTTATTGTTGTACATATTTACAATAGACAAATTTGCATAGCAAAAACAGCTATGTGGTTAGTTTATTGTGATGAACTTTACTTTTCAAATTAAATAAAAATGTATGCAATTCAATGAAATGTTTCATAATTACATTACTTAATCAACTGCCACTAAATTTATTGCTGAAAGGAAACACTTTGAAGAAGCGTAAATGTTGGAAAAAGACAACAAATCTGTTGTATTCTCTATAAAGCCAAGTGCTACAAATAGAGACTTCACAGTGAATAAAGAAAGAAATTTATTGATGTGACACAGACCTGTATTTGTTACCCTTTTTTATTTGTGGTTTACGCTTTGCATGACTCTGAACTTTCTTTTTCCTCGTGATGAATTTCCTATGTCTCTTATTTTTTGTGACCACAAGGGGCTCGTCATCCGAGTCGCCCCGGTGCACCGGCGCGTCATATACATCACTCGCTTCGCACTTGACCGGCGCCACATGTGCTGTCGCCGAAGTACTGTCGAACAAGGGGTTCTTGCTGAGTATCGCCTCAAAAGACTCCTTTAATTTCAAGTATTCCAACTCTGCTTGTTCGAGCACATCGATCAAATCGAAGCAGTTCTTGCACACTTGCTTGGAGCTGCTCGCCGCAAAATCGTTCTGAGTATACTTCGACAGGAAATTGGTTAGTCGAGTACCACACGAAGTGTTCACGGCGTATATGTCGACAGTATCATGGCTGGGGTTCGTGCACACGGCGCAATCGTGGGGCTCGCGCTTTACCTGCACTTCCACTTCTTCCTTGATATTTTTGTCGACATTCTTTGCCACCAAATCGTTTGTATTGACTCGCAAGACGGTGTTCAGTGCACTCGCCTCAGCCATTTCCAACGTCTATTATTCACTCTACATAACAAGTCCGATCGCCGTACATTCAATTACTCGTTCTGTACATAATTTAGTCTTTTAAATTAGTTCTAGTGTAAGGAATTTTAGTTGCAAAATGAAAGAAAAACAAAACTCGGTGACAAAACAGACGTCTCTCGGGTGAATTTCGCTTAAGACTCTTTTTATTGAACAAAGATGCAAGGAGTAGTATATATTTGTTATATAGCCATCTTTCGTTAATTTTTACTGTGTATACAAAATGAGTTCAAAATAAACACATTTTGACAGCTCTGTAATAACTGTTCGTTTCATAGTAAATATTTTAAGCCATATTATTAATTATTATGTCTGTAATCTATTATTCATACATTTATACCTTAGAGAATTTAGTTTCCATAGCTCTATACCTAATCTTTCAGTGGCTATGCATACTTATTAAAATATTATTTAGAAGACTCACATGTGATGCGAACGTACGTACTTATTTTTTCGTACTTACTTTTTTCGGTCGTATTCCAGAACTCTACTCAATACTCAAGTCAGGACTTAAGTATTGCAGTGAGCACTGAAAATCATACTCAAGTGCCTAGGGTCGTGTTTCCAGTGCTTGAAATCATACTCAAGTCTGCTCAAGTCCTGACTTGAGCATTGAGTAGAGTTCTAGAATACGACCCTAAGATTCTAGAACTCTTCTCAATGCTCAAGTCAAGACTTGAGTATGATTTCAAGCACTGGAAATACGACCCTAATGGCAAGCCTAAAGGCAATCATAGTCAAGTACTATGATTTTTACTGCTCATGAGTCGTATTCCAGAACTCTACTCAATGTTCAAGTCAGGATTTGAGTATGGTTTAAAGCACCCGAAATCATACTCAAGTCCGTGTCATTACGGTCGTATTTCCAGTGCTTGAAATCATCTCAGATCCTGACTTGAGCATTGAGTAGAGTTCTGGAATTCGGCCCTGAGACAGTTGTAATTTGTGGAAGAAAATGGAGTTTTAATAAGATTATATATTATCATTTTAAATAAAGACGTGCATTGTTAACTGTATAAGAATGACAGAAGAGAGATGTTATTTTTCTTATGACACGATTGCTGTTTATTTATAAACTAAACTAGTTTTTGAAATATCAACAAAGACTTTTAAATATATTTGAAAAAGAGGCTGAATATTCGACTGTCATATCTTATAATGAAGTCTATTTTATAGGATAACATCCTTAGAGGATGGGAAAAAATCTTAAACTATGGAAATGGTAGCCAAAGGACATGTTAATTTCTATATAAATTAGACGTTATATGTATACGATGCATTTACACGTTGAAAACATAAACATTTTATTGTCTTGGTTTAACTACTGCATGCCGTCGTTAGCCAAAAGAGACAGCACTACTTTGATATATGTCTATTCTATTCTATTTTTAAAAAGAAGGATGGCTTCTCTTTTAGAATTTTGCCAATGTTTAAGCATTTAACACTGCTCTTTAGTCTATTCCAATTCTGAAACAATACAACACGACACAATATAGGTACCATCACCATTAATGATATAAATAAAATAAAAATAAATAGTGTTATAATTTAAGTTTGTTAATACTAATAAAATCAGTAATTAATTTCAGTAGGGGATTTGAAAAGACATATAGCAGAAACTGGAAATTTACGGGACGCGGAATGGACGGTGGAAGACTATCGTAGATGGAACAAGTTCTGGAAGGGCAGCTGAAAAATATATGGTCTGGGGTACCTTCATCTAGGCCACATTCACAAATTGAGTTATCCCGTATTCTAAGTTTTGCCAGATGGACCGGGGTGCAGGCATGACCAAGGCGAAGTCGGCATATCGTAGAAGTTACAGATTTACTGAATCCTTTAAGGTTAAAAAACCAAGGTTTTTTGGGGATACTCATTTGGATGTCAGCATAGTACTTGCCCTTGACAAGCTTGATTTTATTCCACTCATTGCTCCATGAGGAAAACATATCATTGGTAGCTAAAGGCAGAAGGTCATAGGTAAATGTCCTATAATGAGTAAGGTAACCTGTTTGGATAGCGTTTTTCGCCAATATGTCTACGGTTTCATTGCCTTGGATCCCGCTATGACCTGGAATCCACGCCAATACAACCTGAATGTTATTACTATGGCATTGATACAAGACCTCCTCGATCTTCAGGATATTATGGAATTTACTTTTACCAACAAATTGGTTTGCCAGAATAGCCTGTAAACAGCTTTTTGAGTCTGAAAAAATTCCCCTGTTCCCGGTAGTCTTACCCAGTAGTCTTACCAGTAGTACTACTGGGAGTTTTCATCCCAATAAACTTACTCATAGTAGGCCTTTGTAGGTGTCATATTGGGCCAGTTTTTCCCAGTAGTACTACTGTAAAAAGTAATAATAACAAATAATTTATACTTTTGTTCAGTTTGTGAGATTCAACATAACTGAAAGCTTCAAGTAGGGCAGTAGATTCTCCTGTGAATATTGATGCCTGAGATGGGCATTTACAGTTCAGAATAATTTCATATTTTGGGATCCATACAGCCGCACCGACACAACCATCAGCAGCCAGCTTGGAGGCATCCGTATACATAGTCAACCAGCCGTGCCAGTCCTTAGCCAAGGCCTTATTAAACTGTCTGTCTGCAGCAGGGGAATCTTTGTAAATACCAAAGTCCAAGATTATCTCAGGTTTAAATATTATTACATCATAAAGACAAGAGAAAAGGGGATTTTTAGCGCATTGAATGATTTATGTCAAACACGGGAATCGAAAATACGTAACGTCATCTTAAATGCCAACTGTTCTCATATTGCCATTTTTGTAGTACCCTTTGATAACCGTTTCCGGTTGTCAAAGGGAAGTACAACAAATGTCAAAACCAATGTTTGGCCAAATGTTTTAGTGAATTATTCGCATGAATTGTAATGAAATGGACAAAAATATTGACAGTGAGAACAATTAAGTATTGATAAAAATGTGTCGCTGCAGCATTAAGGGGTGCGGCAGTAGAAAAAGCGGAAATCAACCGAATGTTACATTACACCGGCATGTGTTATTTTTCTGCCTATAAATCATACAATAGATCAAATATCTCATGTAATTAGACTCATTTAAGTAGTTTATTCATAAGTCTTGTCGAATTTTGATTTGGTTACTGTAGATTGCCTGTTTGTTAGGAAATTTTGATGATAATAATTATTTTGAGATAATGTTGTTCTTGTAAGCAAACATTATTATTGATATTCTGTTATTAAAACAATTCACTACGAGGTTTTTATTATTTCATTATTATTATTTTTAAAGTTTACCTACAAATGAAAAAGAATGAAAGAATGGTTGGAAATTATTATGACAGAATTGAATTGAATTACAGAACCGAATTGGATCAAATACCATTTTGGTTTGTTCGCTCCATTTTGAAGAGTCAAATTTTAATTGAACTTGATAATGCAATTCCATCGTTACATTATTGGTAAATAACTTCATATTTAATTTTGATTAAAATGGCTCATTACTTGCCTAGTAATAATAGCCTAGTATTAATCATACTTTGATTACAGTAAACTATACAAATTTGCAAAAATAAAAAACAGTTTCAACATTCAGTCCATACATTTGCATGTCGATATTGACTTATCTATGATTATGGTACAACACTAAATCAGCCATTTGTGGTGGACATTTTGGTTTAGGTCAGGTACGTTTATTTCGTAGATAGGGCAACTCCTTTCCTTTATTTTTTTTCGTCCTCTAAGATACCCACGTACAGAGTCAAGAGCACGTCAAGCTTGACACTTAAGATTGAAATCCAACTTCTTTTATTTTTTTCCATCCTCTAAGAATCCAACGCTACGCCGCTTGCGATAAGAACGGTCCAAAGTTCAAAGTGTCAAGCTTCACGTATGTACATACTACGGCGGGCGTTGGCTGCGACTACATTCATAATCCTCCATAGCGCGGCGAACAGCAAGGCGGGCTGCAATGCAGGATAATGAATGCCCCCTTTAACTGTTTTCTTGACGTACCAAGTAACTTAAAATTGTATTTTTATTTGGAATTTGTGCGAATACAGTACCTGAAATTATGTTTTGTCATACTATTAGATAGTTTCAATAAAATTTAGGTATTTTTTTAAACTTAATAAGTTAATAAACGTATGTTTATTATTTCGTTGATTGCATTCAAAATTACATACTAAACTCTGAGATGAATTCAAAGTCCAAAAATGTAAAAAAAAGGTGATGCCGTATTCTTAGGTTTTCGCGATTGTGTTTGTTTGTGTGTTTCTCTATTTTTCCGGATTTAAATCGCGTATATTTGTTTTTTTCAAACAAACCGACGCTTCGGGCCCTTTACAGGTCCCATGTCAACCGTGACCATGGGACCTGGGTACCGGTACCTGGGGACTATGGGACCGGGCTAAAAATTAAAGCAAGATTTTTTCGTACTTTTATTTAAAACACCATATTTAAAACATAACATAATCTCAAAAATCTATTTCCTGTGAAAAGATGTTTTATCCTCTTGGCAATATTTCGGGGATAACAACGTTTGGCTGTCCTTTTTGTTTATTCAATTGTTTTTATTTGTTATATGTGAATGATTTATTGCTATAAGACTATTACTTGAATACTTTATTAAATTGAAAAATATTTCTTATTAAGAATAATAAAATGAAAAGTCAGTTTTTGATCGATAGGGATGGATAACAGAATCAAGTTATCGGGTTGCATCCGCACCAGTGCATCGCATCACCGCGATTTTCTTTCTTCATTCGGTTTCTGGCGGCTGTCGTTATTGAATGTGTTCGTTGCTGCGTATGGGTCATGTTGTTGAGTTTTTGTTTTTATTGTTGAGTTTTCGTTTTGCGTTATTTTTTCTGTTAAGTTTTGGTTTTACTCTGTTGTTACATTTGTGTTGGGTTGCGTTCGTGTGAACATGACCAATCACTATGGAGGTATAAAAAAAGACCACACCCTGCAATGCCCGTAACCGAGAAGGTTATGGTAATGAATGTCTACAAGCGTACATTTCAAACCTGGGGCC